TATATTTCTAGTAATGACGTTAAGAAATACCAACAAGCATTTCTGGCGCCATTGCCGGGGAAGATTCATAATAGAGATTACCTGAACTAATACTTTATATTTACCTGTGTGTAATCATTTTCCTTTGCAGGCTAACCTTGGTTGTTTTCACTTTTGTTGTGAAAACAGGGTAGTGCATGACTAGTTTCAACTTGCCGGAAAACTTCAAAGAAAATCCAGAAGCTTTCTTCCGGAGCGTCAGGCCGCGAGTCGTTGCTCCGCAAAAAAACTCTACCAACAGAGAAACCAGCCGTACCAGCACCACCGACCTTCAAGATTATGGCTAACAAGACTCTCCGCGAGTTCGCTACTCCCTCTGCTGACAATGTGGCCATTGGGCCGCAGATCAACATGGGAGACGTGGATTTCGACTTGAAGTCTAGCCTCATCACGATGGCGCAGGCTAGCCCGTTCTATAGCAAGCCTAATAAGGATGCCAATGCTCATCTGCAACAGTTCCTGGAGATCTGTAGCACGTACACCATTAAGGGCGTCAGTCCCGACGCCGTCAGGCTGTGACTGTTTCCGTTCTCCCTTCTCGGGAGAGCGAAGAGTGGTTCTATGCCAACCGTGCTGCTGTCAACACCTGGGACAAATGCTCTACGACATTCCTCTCGAAATTCTTCCCGATGGGCAAAACCAATGCCCTTCGTGGAAGGATTTCAAGTTTCCAGCAGACAAGAGATGAGTCTATTCCTGAAGCATGGGAGGGTCTGCAAGAGTACGTGGCCGCTTGTCCTCATCATGGGATGGACGACTGGCTGATCCTGCAGAACTTTTAAAATTGACTCACCCCGATGTCCCGTGATCACCTGGACGCGGCAGCTGGAGGAGCGTTCTTCTCTAAAACGGTTTAAGGAGCCGTTGATCTAATAGAGAAGATGGTCTCCAATATGGGTTGGAGCGAGGAACGACTCCAGACCCGTCAGCGAGGCATGCACACTGTCAAAGAGACGGAATTACTTGCTGCCAAGCTGGGCCTCCTCATGAAACGCTTGGACGACCACGAGAAACGGCCACAAGGCACCGTCAAGGCCTTGGACTCACATGTTACATGTGAGGTCTACGGCGGCATAGGTTATTCTGGGAATGACTGCCCGGAAACGCATAAGGAGGCGATGTACATGGGCAACAACAATGGGTACCGTCCACAAGGAGGTCAGGGGTGGAACCAACCACGCTCATATTATCAAGAAGGTAACAACAACGGTAACTTTTCTAACCAGCCCTCCTTTAAGGATCTCATTTTTGCGTAAGCTAAAACCACTGATGCGCTAAGGAAAAAGCTTGCGGTCAATGACAAGATCCTAGAGAACATAAATGTCAAGTTAGATGGCTTCGCTTCTGCTTTTCAAAACCAGCTGAGTTTTAATAAAATGATAGAAACCCAGCTAGCTCAATTGGCATCCTTAGTCCCTGCAAATGAAACTGGGAGGATTCTGGGGCAACCTGACTCCTCCGTTGAAAATGTCTAAGGCAATCACGACGAGGGGAGGTAAGTCTACTCGTGATCTGCCATATCCTAACCCTGCAGGAACTAACGAGATTGCCAAAGAAGCGCCATCTAGTGATTCGGCTGACAAGGAAGTTCAGCTAGAAAAGACAGTGCCGCAGGAGTACTGCGACACACGTACGGTTGCTGCCGTTTCCTCAACGGAGTATGAAACCGTCAGTGGACGAGGAATTCGCTCGTTTTGTTGAAGTAATCCAGAAGTCATAAAGTCATTATTGGATACTAAACATACTTTCCTACAGATAAAAGGGAACTAACAAACTATTCCTAATTAATAGATAACTTGCCATGCCGTATCCTCCTTGAACTCGGTTACTTCTGGATAAGCTTCCTTTAGTAGATTAATTTCCTTAACCGAATATAGCAGGAATCTGACTATTGGCGACGTAATAATTCTCATCGGCCGATTCTAGGACTCTGAAACCAATACTGATTCTAGGCCGATGATGTCTTCGGGGCTTACCAAATTTCGTTGTTAACAATGTGCTAATGGGTGGATTTGATATATTCCTTTTTTTTTTCCTTGAAAGTGTTCTTGTTCAATTCCTGTAAATTATTCCTTTTCAATTCCTGTAAGAAATAGGTGCTACATAGATCGCAGATTATGCATTGGAATTGTTATTTTCCATCACCCTGATGATCATAATACATTCTTCATCAAAGCGAACTGTGCCATGGGAATGTCCCCACTTCAAGCTGAACTCACTCATTGCTCTACAATTGGCCTCCGTAATTGCTCAAATAATTTTTGAACTTTGCAGATATGATCCACGTTACAGATTATAGCACAATTGCATCAACGTTCAGTAAAGGAGATTTCCAGGAGTATCCCAGACACTGGAGTCTCAGACCAATACTCAGTGAAATGCAGTGTGCGGTACAAGGAAATCATCTACAGGTGAACTGGATTCCAAGAAAGATCAATAGAAAGGCTGACAGGCGCATGATGCTAGGGACAAATTGATTCACAGTTCTCAGTTTGTTTGTAACAATACCACTCACCTAGCTTATCCGCATATCTCTTGTCATGCAGGAAGGGTGGAAAATGTCTTCAGAGGATCTCATTCCTCTATCTCTCATGTATTTTGCTTCTAACTCTATATATCTATATTATATAATACTAAATATATTGAACATTCAAAAGAAAATGATACCTAATTTACTTGGTATGTTTAGATATTATATCCATGCATTCAGTGATATAAATAAGATTGGAAAAAAGTTCTATTTTTGTTAATGTTCGTATTTTATATTCACAATTCATACGAAGGATATTTGTCAGATTATTTTGTACATATAACACAGGATTAATCCTGAAAGGGCCTTGATGTCGCCTAGAGGGGGGTGAATAGGTGTTTCTAAAATTTACTTCAAATCGCAGCGGTTAAAATCAGGGCCCGGAACTTCCTGGCAAAAGGTCCGGAACTTCCTGGCAGCTTTTTCTCACAAGCAGAGAAAGCTGCCCGGAACTTCTGGGGATCTTCCTAGGAACTTCCGGGCAGTTGTGAATTGCTATTTCAAGCACCTCACAACAAGTAAATTAAATCACAAGGAAGCCTAAACCATAGAGAGGTACAACATGTCTCAAACAAGAGTAATACACATGAAAATATACAAGATAGCACAAGTGATCATACAATGGGAGACATGATAGCACAACTAGGCAAATAAGGAGAAAAGCATCACAATCACAAAGATAAAGAGAGTGAGAGGAGACAAACGATTTGTTTCCCGAAGTTCGGATTCTCCACCGAGAATCCTACGTCTCCGTTGAGGAGCTCCAAAGAGCCGGATCCTGATTAACCCCTTGCCTCACCAAGCAAAGGCCTAGGAAGAGGTCTCCGGTATTCAAGCCAACACCCCTAGGTACTTCTCTTTGGTTTCAAGTGACCACTAAGATCCCCAACTTGAACACCAAGAGAACACCACAAGTGAGGCTTGCTCTACCAAAACGACCTCCTAAACCTCAGCTCGGAATTCACTCACCGTGTATTCCGTTTCCTTTCGGAGGTGGAATAACACCCTCACAAACTTGCCCGGGTCAATCCACAACCTTGTTGGAAACTCACGGGCGACACCTAACCGTCTAGGAGGTCACCCTCCAAGAGTAACAAGCTTCAAATGATAGCCCAACGAGATACCCCAAGTGCTCAAGTCATCCTAGCCTTCAAAACCTTCTCCAATCCTCACCACCACCCTCAAAATCACTCTCTCACTCAAGAAGTACACAAGATTTGGGTGGAGGAAGCAAAATCACATTGGAAGAGGCTAGAACAAGCTAGGGAACACAAGAACTAACGTGGAATGGCCAAAGGGTGACCTGGGGACGAGATCCATATATATAACGGCTAGGTGACGTCATCTAGCCGTTACTCACAAGTTTGAACTGGAAACCTGCCAGGAGGTTTCGGGTAAAAGTGCCAGGAACTTCCAGGCAGCACTTAGGAAATTTTTCAACCTCACCTCGGCGCTAGGAAGTTCCGGACAGAACCTCCGGGTGGGACTCTCTGTTCCGAGTAGAGCCATTTTCAAAAACAGCTCCTAAAAATATTTCAACACTTGGACACCACTAAGAGCAATTGTGTTATCTCAGAACCACACTTGGAACCCCTCTTAATAGTACGGTTTTTCCTAAACTCAAAGCGAAAAAGTAAACTAGTCTAACTCAGCTCCGAGTCTTCTCGCCGCTTTGATTTTGATGTTTTGGGGGGGTCTCCAAACATCCTAGTCCACTTCTAAGCAACCTGGGACTAATACACCACTAGGAATGTCATCTTCTTGCTTCACCTTGAGGGTTGTCAACGTCAACGCCATTTCACTATTGGGACTATTCTCACCTACACTCATTAAGCATATTAGTCCCAAATCAATTATACCTTTGCCTTGATCAATGCCCACTTTGGATTTTGACTTGATGTTCATCGAAGAACCACATCCTCTTGATCCTCGGCATTCCATCTCGCGGTCTTCTTATAATTGATACGGATTACTCATAGCTTCAAATGGCCTCGCACAGTCCATCATGACCATCATGACAAAGCCTTCACTCGCCTTTCACTACCGGATTCGGTCCATCGGTGCCAAGCCTCTCCCCGCATGGTCCATTGTAGCCGAGCCTTGCTTGCCCTTCACCGTTTTGCCATAAATAGCCACTTCATACCCCGCATCATCAATGTCTTCACTTGCTCCTCATCAAGGTATAATGTCCATCTTCTAGCCTAGCTTTGCTTTCTCTTCACCGGTTTGCCATAGATAGCCATTTCATACCCCGCATCATCAATATCTTCACTTGCTCCTCATCAAGGTATAATGTCCATCTTCTAGCTTTAATCTTTTAACTTGATGCCGGAACTTAACCTAATCTCACCAACTCATGGAAATAGTTAGTTCCAACAATGGGTTGTCATTAATCACCAAAACAATCACCGCACTCTTAGGATCATAGATATTCCAATCTCCCCTTACAAGGCAACTCTAGTGCATAGATCTTTCAAATCCAATTAATGTATACAGAGTGGCCTTAGTCCTTTTTGTAACATGAAACAAAGCCATGGCATTTTCTTCTTTTTACAAAAGAGCATTACACAAAGGAAAAAAAATGTAGAAAGTAGCAATATATTCCTCTACTAAACAATATTATGGCGATTAGAGACGCGGAAACACGATATCATCTAGGATACCTTTCTAACGACAACATCTCATCTTCCATGCTGTGTCTACTTATTAGTACTTCTTCGATGTCCCCTCTAGCTGATATGCAATGCCCTGCAACTCGGGATACTTCATATCTACTTGGTTCTTTATTATATGGAGCATGTTTGGTTTTAGCTCGCAAGTTTTCAAGCCTTATTTCCACTTCTCTCATTGTTGGTCGGTCTTGTCCATTCAACTTAGTACACATTGCCGCTAGTGTTGCTACTTCTTCAACCTCCCCATTCTCCTCTTCCTTGACTTGGGGATCTATTATTTCAACCAATTTGCCTTCTTCCAGTAGTGAGGCAAAATGTGGAACAAGACTATCACCTCTATCAGTCCTATAGATAGGCTTTTTTCGGGTAAGTAGTTCTATAAGAAGAACACCAAAACTAAAAACATCACTTTTGTTGGTTAGACGACCGGTATAGTAGTACATGGGATCTAGGTAACCAATTGTTCCTTGAACAACCGTAGTCACTCCAGTCTGATCAATTAGAATGTACCTTGAAGCTCCAAAGTCTGATATCTTTGCTGTTAAATTATCATCAAGAAGTACGTTAGATGCCTTGATATCTCTATGGAATATTGGTGTTGTTGCGGCTGAGTGTAGATAGACCAAGGCTCTACTAACTTCAAGTGCAATCCTTATTCGGTCCACCCATGATAGAGATATAGGTCCATCGACGTGAAGATGATCATCAAGAGATCCATTTGAAATGAATTCATAAACCAACAATGGAACTTCTGTCTCAAGGCAACATCCTAGAAGCTTCACCACATTTCTATGATTCACTTGGGAAAGGATTGCAACTTAATTTATAAAATCATCTATTTCTCTTTGCACTACAATCCTTGATTTTTTAATGGCAACAAAATGCAAGTCTAAAATTCCTTTGTATACAATGCCATGTCCTCCACCACCAACTTCACGAGTTTTATCAAAATTGTCCGTTGCTTTTTCTAGCTCCCGTAAGGTCAATATCATTCTTTCACCAATATTTGCATTTTGTGACATCAATTGTTGCAGGAGTAGCCCATGATTTTGCTTGAAAAATATCTCTTTCATCCTTTTCACCTTATGTAGCTTTATTTTCTGTACTATGAAAGGTGCAGAAAGTGCCATAATTAAAATACGAGCAATGCTACACATACTAAATTTTTCTTACTAAACTTTTACTAACAATCATCTCAACCGTTTGATTTAAGTAGATGGAAGTTATAAAAAAATCTAGATGGACTCATAGCATGACACATCAGTGTTAGTAAGAATTTAGTAAAAAAAAGTTAGTACGTATAGCCTTTTCCTTAAAATACTTATGCCACCACTAACTCCCAAACCAATTGTTAAACCTGAAAATTCGTAAAGGAAAGAATTCAAGAATTTGGATCAAGAACATACATAAATAAATAAGTAATATGTGTGTGTGTGTGTGTGTGTGTTTGTTACTCCATTTGTCCTAACAGTAATACAATCATAGCATTCAAAAGACAAACTAGTAGGAAAGGAAAATATCTTAGATGTCTTGTAGTAAATAAGAGGTGGTTGGGAGTGGGATGGTGGTTGGGGCTAAGATGGAGAAAATTTGAACGAGAGGTGTTTGGATAGAAAGTAGTACTCTATAATTGTAATCTTCTTTATAAGATTTGAATGCTTGGATTGTATTCTTTGATGGAGGGAGTACAATATTGGTACTTGACACAGAATGCTTGATCTTAATACACCCTCCTCTTATTGTTGGATCCCCCTCGGTTCCACTGTGGCAATGGCATTGAAAACTCCCAAACGTATTCACACATTGTCCATAGCATGAGTAAGATTCCGGGTGCATACACTCATCAATGTCTAGAAGAAATATAACATAGAAGAATATATGATGACCAAATTAATTAATCATGGGAAAGAAGAACGATAACAAGTCAAGAGAAAAGCCAGATTAGTAAATAACATAGCCATATATGGGGAGCCAATATTGCATAAAACTCTAGCAAGCTAACTACTTCCTATGTTCACAAACACAAATCATTTTGATAAGCATCCGACTAAAGTTTCAAAAGTTTGTCTCATCGTCTTTTTAAATATATATTTAGAAACAAGTAGTAACATTTTTAACTCAAAACAAATATATTATGAAAATATACTCAATTATAGATTTAATGAAACTAATTTAGTGTTGTAAATATTATTATATATATTTATCTACAAACTTGATTAAATTTGGAGTAGTTTGACTTTAACCAAAATCAAAACGACTTATTATCTGAAACGGAGGGATCACATATACATGTTGTTAGAAATTGTTTATTAAAAATATACATTGTAATATTTAAAATGTTTATTAAACATAATATATATTGTAATATTAGAGATGTTTATTAAACATTGGAGAGCACAAATTAGTGGTCGAAGTTATATAATTTGAAAGGGAGTAGCTATATTTATGGCGCCATATTTTTCAAAAAAAAAAACAATCGGACTTGATGATGCCTAACTGAATACTCCCGCTACTTAGTTAAGTCGTTATACCTTTACATCCATTTGGAATTGAAGCATTGCCCGTTAAGCCGAGAGGACACTGGCAAAGATACCCTCCTTCTGTGTTCTTGCAATCTCCATAACAGTAGCCAGGGGAATGACATTCATCGATATCTAACAAATAATCATGAGCGTATATTTTAGTTAGGCGAGTCATTGAAACATTAATGAACCTGAAGAAATAAAGGGACGTACCAATGACTAGGATATTAATTTCCTCTGATTCTAAATGTAAGTATTTTATAATTTTTGACAGAAACAGTCCTTTTAAATGTATGCACAGATCGAAAGAAGGAAAATAACCTTACTGCTCATCATTTATACTAAAGAGAGTGGTAACACATTTTTTTTTAGAAAAATCAAACATAGGTAAAACAGAAAAGATAATGCATAAAAGTTCTAAAACAACTTGTGTTAGTACTAATATTCTTAAATAGATGTCATCTAAAATTACTTTATGCAACCAAACCTTGAAACTTTAAATGATTGTTTAATGAAAACATTAGAGAAGAGAAAATGGTAATTGATATATTATTTGTCATAAAAAACACTTATATTGTTACTATACTTTTAAAGCTTTCATAAACATACATAGTTAGAAAGTAATGATAAATTGTGTATTGAAGATTGCGTAGATATAAACTGGGCAAAAACAAATGGAGGTAGTATTTAATTAAGACATATATAGTTGAGCATTCTAAGTGCCCTATTCGGTTCATAGCAGGATTGCAATTTTGGTTCAAAATTTCCAACCCGGCAAGTGATTATCTCGGCCAAGATTTCCTTTTTCTCTCAGAATTTTGCAAATTTAGTCAAATTCAGTTAAATTATGTTAAAATTTCAAGAAATTTTGGCCCAAAAATCCAGAAATTTCAGGGATTTTGGTAGAACCGAAATGAGCTAAATTTTGGGTGAAATCGAAATTGTAATCCTTGGCTCATAGGATTTCCAAATCAAGAAATTACGTAAAGTAAAGGATTAGAATATCACATCTATTTAATTCCTTAGGAATTTTTCCAAAAAAGGTTTCATCTCATCCTAAGAACCGTACTCCTTCCGGATTGAAAATACTTGTCGTTTAAGACAAGGGCACGGTCTTCAAAAAAGTTAAAAATAACTTTGACCATTATTTTTTATTATAATATGTATAAAAATATTTTAAAAATATATATGATTTTATTAAAGTACTTTTTAAGACTAATCTATGCATATAGTCACCATATTTGAAAGACAAATATTTTTAAAATGATTCATAATCAAAGATTTTAAAGTTTGACCTTACTCTTGTCTAAAACGATACAAGTATTATCAGCTCGGAGAGGGTATAAAATAAGCTCGTAAGACTACCATCCTTAGAAATTTGGTAAGATCCATTCTTATGAAACAAGTGATATATGTTGAAAAAAATCCTAAGGATTCAATTCCAACAATTGTTAAAAAAACTAGGAAGGTAGCCCGCGCATTCGCGCGGGCATGCGTCGTACGCCAAGTTTGAGGTATTTATAAAAGCGACATTTAACAGGAGAACATCTGCCACGATTTCTCCATACATTATTTTTGTCAGCATTAATTAATTCTTTAATAATATTCTAACCTATTAGATTTATATTATATCAAATATAAGTAGTATCTATAAGTAATTATTTATAATATTCTTCATCATTTAAAAAAAAGGTAGATTTATTTTTTTTAGAAAACATGTCAACGAAAGTAAAAGTAAGTGTAAAATAAAAATTAAGGTGTTTTTATTTTTTTAATTGTATAATATATTATCATAATATGTTAAAGGATGAATTGGGTGGGACATTAATCTACACAAAAAATGCACGGGTTTATATAGCCTAATATGATTGATATATTTTGAGAGGCGATCTACCTATGAACATTTCATGTAGAGTGAATGAGAGGCTCCACGCAACCTAGCAAGAATACAATAACGTCGAAATATCATTGCACAGTAATATTTTTAAAATGTCATGTACCATGAATAAACACTTGTTACAAACAATGGTTCTACCGGTTTAAAAGGTACAGGAGCGCACACATGCATGTTATGCAGTGAGCCAGACAGAGATTCTGATAGAATTTGTTTTTTCCGAAAAGATAGATATGATGGTATAAAAATTGGGTCCATCGGTTTAAGTGGAAACCGATGGTCGATTATATGAGTGTTTTTGTAATTAATAGAATGCCACATAGCGACTTAGAAGTGTTTAGGAGTGCTAGGAGCAATCATATGTATGATTTAGATGCTATGATCATTTTAAGATCGTTTATTTATCTTTTAAATTTAAAATATCATTTATTTACAAAAGCATCAAGATCAATTCGTATATGTAAATAGCCCCCACGTGTATGTTGTGAGGAATTAATAAAGTTTTTTTATGAAGAAATTAATTAAGTTGGTAGAAAGTCATTAGATGTCTAATAATGTACTTTTAATGGGTTTAACAGTTTCATTAAAAAATAAGCTAGCATATTTTGATTTTCAATGACAAATTTTAATATTTTCTTTTATTTAGTGGAGCACTCAAGATGGATGTAGGTCTAGAATGCAATAAATCTAATATAGATATTAAAATTATATATTTATTTGAAAAATAAAAATAGATATATAATTTATGGTACAAATAATTGTAAAGACTCGTAAAATTAATCCGGCCTTTATTAAAAAGTCTAAAATAGCACGTTTAAGTATAAATTAGTTAATATATTTCTTTGTTAGTTTAATGCGTACAGAATGTAACGATATAAACTTTATAAACTTTATTTAAATAGTGTATTATTTGAAAATAATGCTCCACATAAAGGGTTCACGTATACCTTTATTTAATGGGTAAAAATATAGTGGTGTAAACTTTATTTTGGAAAGAGATATATCATAATATAATCATATAAGTTATCTACTACTACTTAAAAAATAAGAGGTGCTTCCATCGTCCGTCAAAAAAACCGGGTGAAAAAAAACCGGAACGAATCCGATTCATCAACGCGGTAAAAGAATATGTCCGATTCCACAAAAATAGGAAACAAACTCCCATCTGTTTTCGTTTGAGCTGATTAGGACTTTGTTTCTGTTTGGGCGAATAGGACTTGGTTTGAATTATACCAAGTCCTATTCGGTTAGCATCACCAGGAGAACAAGTGCATATATACATACATAGTATAAAAAATCATAGCACATAACAAAGAATCACATGCAGCCTTATAGCACTTTGCAAAAAAACAAAAAATTAGATCGAAGGGGGTCGCCGCTAGCACACATATATCCAAATAAAAACAAAAAATTAGATCGAAGGGGGTCGCCGCCGCTGCCGCCGTCGCCGTCGCCGTCGTTGCCGAACCGCCGCCGTCGCCGTCGCTGTGGATCCGGTGGAGGGGAGAGCACCGCCGCCGCCGCCTCCCCTCCCGCTAGATCCGCCGGCGGCGGCGGCAGAGGGCACTCTCCGGTGGTGGGGGAGAGCGCCGCCGCCACCGTCGGTGGTGGGGGAGGACTCCACCGCCGCCGCCGCTCGCGGGAGGAGGGGCGCCGTCGCCGCTGCTCGCGGGGCGCCTCCCCACCCGCTAGATCCGCCGCCGGTGGTGGGGGAGGGTGCTGCCGCCGCCGCTCGCGGGAGGAGGGGCGCCGTCGCCGTCGCCGCCGCTCGCGGGGCGCCTCCCCTCCCGCTAGATCCGCCGCCGGTGGTGGGGGAGGATGCCGCCGACGCCGCCGTGGGTGGTGGGGGTGCCGCCGCCGCCGCCATCGGTGGTGGGGGAGGGGCGCCGTCGTCGCCGCCGCCGCTCGGGGGCGCGGAGGAGAGGGCGGCGAAGTGAGATGGGAGGGGGGGAATGGGCTAGGGTTCCGCGGCTGAGAGGGAGTGGGTTTTGTTTCCCCACTATTGACGCTCGGTCGTCCGATCAAAACCCTAGAGATCGGACGGCCGGTGTCGTCCGGGCCGAAATCGGCCCAAGAGGGATCGAGAGTGAGGCCTCTTTTTCGGCCCAAGCCCAGGTTGCGGCCTGGGGGAGGAAAAGTGCGCCCGCGCATGCGCAAAAGGCCGTGGGCCGACCGGCATAGGTCGGAAATAAGTCTATTGTTGGTCCCTCGAGCCGAAAAACAGAGAATAAGTACATTTTTAGTGCTCATTTTTTCAGAAGCATTACAATTATAGTTCTATTGAATATGTTTATTTCGAAGCAAACCTATAAGAAAGTATTTTCTTTCTTTTTCCAATTAAATAATTGTTAAATGATGTTTGTATTAATAAAATTAGCAATTAAGCTCTGAAAATTCCAATAAAATTCCAAAGAGCGTAACTAATTATGGAGAATTTAATAAAATTAAATTTAACCATGTCATTTTATTTAACCATGGAGAATGGAGAATTTTACTTGTAAATTTATTTAATTATACACATACCTACTTAAAAATACCAAATATTTCAGCGAATTTGTATTTTAATTAATTGCATATTTTTCTGATCTGTAAACTTCCCGGTGCAACGCACGGGCACTTTTGCTAAACCAAACAACACTTTTGGTCAATATACACACTCTGTAATCACCCGGTGCAACGCACGGGCACTTTTGCTAGTGATTATATAAAATTTAACTATATTAACTGTTATCTCGATTATATATATATGAAAAGAAAAAGGAGGGAGGGAGATGGAACCGTACGTACGTACGTACCTACGGATGGTGTGGAATTGTACGTTTTAAGATCAATATAGTTAATCTGACGGTTTCTAATAGTGGACCCACTATTTTAAAATCAACGGATAGATGCTTTTCTTTTTTCTCAGAATTTCTTTGATTTCTCTAATTTATTAGAGCGCCAAGTGGCGGCTTAAGAGCGTTTGTAGGAAGATTAATGGACTTTTAGTATATAATAGATAGATAGATAGATAGATAGATAGAAGATAGAAGATAATAGATAGAAGATAGAAGATAGATGTCCTAAGGTTTCATATAGAAATCATTTAAACCAAACGAGCCCTAAAACGACCAACATTAATCATCCGAGCGAGCACACACGTACCATGGCATCCACCAGCAACGTAGGGATTTCCTCGGTAACCCTCCGAGCAGACGCAGCTATACCCAAGGAGGGTATTACCACCACCCTTGTAATCCTCACAAAAGCTGTGTTCGCTGCGGCACTCGCCGCCGGCCGTCGAGTTCGCCGGCGTCGAACACGACGAGTTGCTTCTGATCACAAAGTCTAGCGTGGCCGGGAGCGCCGCCGGAGTGGCGATGCGGCCGGCGATCTCTTCCGTGAAATTCAGCGTCTCGTCCGTGATGTAGGCGATGTACTGGAAGTCGAAGCTATGGAGGTTCTTCTCCTGCAGCTGCTTGATCTGGATGGTGTAGGAAGGGTAGCCCAGCATGATGTTTGCCTGGCAGCAGCCGACGCCGGAGCACTTGCCGTTCCAGGCGTCGATGATCGCGATGGTGTGGCCGTCGCCGCCGTCGCCGTCGTCGTGAGCCGCGGCGTCGTCGCCGCCGCCGACCGGTGGGCAGACGGCGGTGCAGGAGCTGACCAGGTTGTCGCTGTGGCGGCGGTCTCCGCCGCGGAGGTCGACGCGGGCGTTGCATCCCATCAGCGCGATCGTGTTGCGCCTCGACACGACGAACGGGCCCCCGTCGTCGTCGGCGGCGGCGGCGGCGCGCCATGTCGTCGTCGCGTTGATGACGCCGCGCTGCACGTCGTCGGCGGGGTCGAACGCCATGGCGGTGGCGTTGACGCGCAAGGTGGAGTTGGGGATGGAGATGTCGAGCACCTGCACGGTGCCGTCGCCCATGAACAGCCTGGTGTCGTTGCTGCTGCAGGTGAGGTTGAAGCCTGGGTGGTAGCAGCCGGGCTCCACGCCGAACGGGTACTCGAAGCTGATGTCGCCGCAGCGGGTGGTGCAGTTCGTCGGCGCCGCCGCCGCCGCCACCGCCGTGAACAGCACGGCGGCCTGCAATCCTCTCATCTCGATCAATATAATGGTGGTCGTGAAAAGGATTTTCTTGTAACCTACTGGCTAATGAACCACTGTATAAATAGTACACATAAGGTAGCTTACTTGATATGATGAGGTCACAGAACGAAGCTACGACCGATCGAGGAGTTAGGTCAGGTCCGCGTGCGTGCATGAAATTATATATATTCCACTCTACGCGGAAGTCGCGGATAAACAATGCTACACCACCAAATAAAGTGGTGAATATATATATCAGCCGCGGTATTTGTACCCTCTTACACCAAACACACGAGTCATAAAGTATTCTTCTTCTTTTCCTCTTTCTCCTTTGAAAAAATCATAATCACTACCGGTTTCAAAACTTCAAATACTGTTAGGTTTCGAAACCCACAATACGCATGTGGTACAGAAAAAGCCAATGACAACTATCACTATATATTGGTCCAAGAATCGAGAATGATAATGTGTTAGGGCAAATCAAAACCGGGTGGATAGTTGAGGGATGGTGGTTGGCGAGTAGAGAGGGATAGGAGAATAGAGGGGCATTGAACAGTGGGGAGGCTAGGGTTATCAAATCTGACATCGATCCCTAGCCTCCTCACTGTCAGATGCGGCCACTAGGAAAGCAGCGGCAGTGGCAATGTGTAAGGAAAGGACGAGATTAAGAATAAATCTATTAACTTATTAAAGGAATAGAAAAAGGAGCCTCCACGTTCGCTCTCGCTGCCTAGAAATTCTCATATTAATTAGAGAAAAAGAAAAACAGAGTCCATATAAAAATAAAATTTAGAAATAGTTGAAATTCGGAATTAAAATAATGAATATTGGAAGAGGAGACTATAGTCCATATAGAAATACAATTAAGAAATAATAGAAATTCGGAATTAAAAATAAGGAATATTAGAAGTAGAGTATAGAGTCCATATAGAAATACAATTAAGAAATAGTAGAAATTCGGAATTAAAAATAAGGAATATTAGAAGTACGTAGAGTATAGAGTTCATATAGAAATATAATTAAGAAATAATAGAAATTCGGAATTAAAAATAAGGAATATTAGAAGTAGAGTATAGAGTCTATATATGAATTTAAAACTAACTAAAATTCAAAATAAACATAATAATATTAAAAGTAGAGTTTAGAGTTCGTATAAAAATAAAATTTACAAATAACTAAAATTCTAAATTAAAAAAACATGGGAAGAAAAGTCTAAAGTCAATATAGGAATACAATTTAGAAGTAACTAAATTCGAATTTAAGAATTTAAGAATATTGAAAGATGATTTTACAGTCCACCTAGAAATACAATTAGAAATAATAAAAATTCAGAATTAAAAATAAATAATATTGGAAGAAGAGCCTAGAGTCTATATAGAACTACAATTTACAGATAATGAAAATATGAAAAAAAAAATTAAAAAAGAAATATTGAAGACAAGTCTAGAGTCGATATAGGAATATAATTTACAAATAACTAAAATTTGATATTAAAAATAATTAATAACTAACACATATATCAAATACAATATGAATATTACATATTAGTAGTTTCGTAAAGTTAGTACAAAATTTAAAATTATGTTGTCATTTTAATATATTTGAATAATACATAGAGAAAACATATATGATATTATATGGGAGAAAATATAATGATGCTAACCGCGCGCTAGTTAAGATAAGAACAAAAGGGAAGAAGGTCTATTTTATAAACCCTAAATATTCTAGTACTGGTTTTTCTCGTGAATTAGTAGTGAAAATTTTACTTAGTAGTTCTTCCAGCCGTGGTAGACCGACACGGATTTAAATTTGTGTAACTAGCTAGTGCTTCCTCGTGTTGCTTGGAGAAGAGTATAGGGTGGGGTGGTTTAAGTGAACAATACACAAAGTTTAGGGCTAAACGATGTATCAGGTCTATATATGTTCAATCTTTTGTGGAAGTTCACCCGTACTTCTTTCCATGCAGGAAACGATTTTGCTATAGATTTTTGACAGATTTTTGGGTGAAGGTACACAGATTTTCTGATGTATGATTTTCTGTTGCGATTAATGATTAATTCTAGACGTATGATTATTCTAACGTACGATTTTGTATGCCCTAGACGACATTAGATTCTTTTTTAGTTTTATCTGATTTTACAACATCATTAGTGCTAACATTTTTACAAATAATTTTGCAAAAGATATATCGGGTTTTTTTTTAGATTTATCTTTAGTTAGATGAGAAAGAAAATCATTCTACGAGAGAAAAAAACTAAAAGTCGCATCGCTGCGGAACTCGATCCCGCGCACGCACTTGCCTCTACAATTGCGTTTTTCTGTGTACTTACATGGGATTCCCATGAGTTACATTATAGTTATATGCATTTTAAATTATACTTACATTATAATCATACTGTAGCTATATTTGATGTGATTTTTATAATATGTCAAGTGATATAAAAAAGTCCTGTCAGGGAATGGCAGATAGTAATCAAGTCTAAATTAAACTATACAAAAGAAATCGATCCATGTGAGAATCGTGCAAAAACAAGATAAACTTGTTTGTACTGGGTGCGCCATTGTGCCCACACGCCGGCGGCATAAATAATCCCATCCGTGGTTTAATATAATTCATGCAAAGTGTACTTGTTAGTGTACTTAATTTGGGTGCTCCTTTTTTGCTTTCCGGTGAAATTGCTGGGAAAAAGTTTTCATTCCCCTCTCTCTGTTTGGTGGCATGCAGTTGCAAAGGGCCAAAAGCCATGTGAAACTTCCCACCCTTTCGATCGGCAGAAGCATGTGTTCTAACAAACTGTGGGTGGAGGTGGCAGCCGCTCACACTGCATATAACCGCGATGCATATTTTATTAAACAAGGTAAAGCGACTCGATGAATAAATTCTTTCGGGGCCATAAATACCGTAAGAAATGTTTTCTTTAAAGGAAATCCACAGGAGAACCAGGTGTACTCATCTCTCGACCACCCGAAGACAATCCTGATAGGTGGTGAGAGATTATTACAACGTTAGTCGAGGACCAGATGTAGTCATTTCTCGATCACCCGAAGGCAAGTCTGATAGGTGGTGAGAGATCACTACAACGTTGGTCGAGGACCAGACGTAATCATCCCTCAACCACCCAAAGGCTACTTATAGGCGGTGGGAGATTGCTACAACGCTGGTCAAGGACCAGGTGTAGTCATCCCTCGACCACCTGAAGGCAACTGATAAGTGGTGAGAGATCGCTACGACGCTGGTTGAGGACCAGGCGTAGTCATCTCTCGGCCATCTAAAGGCAACTCTGATAGGTGGTGACAGATCACTACAACGCTGGTCGAGGACCAGATGCCTAAGACAACTGATAGATGATGAGAGATTGCTTCAACACTAGCCAAGGAACATGTCTAGTCTGTCAATGTTATGGATAACACATACCCAATAATCTTGGGTTAAGCTCGACGGGGTCCACCATATACCAAGTCTTATAAAGAATCATTCCTCGCATATGGAAGGTATTCCGGATAAGGAAGGAGAAGCAGAGTTCAAGTTGAAAATTACAAAGACTACTCGAATCGTATCCATATTTGTCTCCCTAGTTTTTCTTGGACAAGAGGACATCTGTGGGTATAAATACAAGACCCCCTAGAGGAGAGGGGGGACGCTCAGTCAGAATAGACACCAATACACGCTGCCAGACATCGACATCAGAGATAAGCCAAGACATACCCAATTCGGTGCCACAGAGGTAGACAAGAGAGATCTAGCACTATCTCTGATCTCGTCAAGTTTGCATTCGAGGAGGAAGACTATCCCATCGTCTACTACGTGTGGTGTTCCATGCCGCCAAGTCGACGACGACAAGATAGGTTATCCCAAATATTTTACTTGCGTGATTTCGATGAATAAGAGCAACACCGGCTTCAGCTAACAAGAGTAGGGCTATGTCACGCCCAGAAATTTAGCCCAAATTTCCAGACTATTTTGTGTATTAAATCCCTGTCCAGGACCAGCCAGGGTACACAAAACGACAAGTAATATACAGTTCCAAACATAAATAAAGCGTAAAATACTTACAAAAGAGGCACTTAGTCCTCGCACCGAAACGAAAACAGCAGCAGCGGAAAAAGGCGATCCTAGCGGGGCTTCAGCTCCACTCCACAGGCAAAACTCAACTGGGGTCTGAGCCTTGGTCCTCTAACTTCGTCTTCAGCTCAGAAGCACTACACTTCTGAAAAGGGGGAATAATAGCAAGACTGAGTACAACCACCGTACTCAGCAAGCCACACCAACGATGCAGACGTGCAAGGGGAACACAAGGACGGTTTGTGGCTATTTGCATAAAGGCGGTTGTAAAACATTTTATTTAGCAAACAGTAAAACTGTTGAGTAATTAAAGTAACATTAAAATCTCCACTGATCAACGCTACACCACGTTGAACAGGCCCAACCAACCCACCTGTACTACAGTGCATTGGGTCGATTTATTAAGGTGGGACTAATCACGGTGAATCTGGTCGACCGCCCATAACCGCGGGCACGGCTATTCGAATAGTTTTACTCTGATCAGAGGTGTACAACTGTACCCACAAGACACAGCCCCACGACACGTTTCCGTGCGCCGACATGCCACCACGACATACCGGAAAGAGGCCGTGACAGGACCCTTCGCATAACCCCCTCTAACCGATCGCACCACACCTTAGGGTTCGCCCCCGTCCCCAGCAGGCAACGGGCAGCCCCCCTTTCGTGCCGCGGTGAATCCGGAAGCCGATCAACCGGACACCCCGGCCGACCCAACTCCATCACGCCCACCCTCGCCTGGGTACGTCGGCTAGAGAAAAGCTACACTACAAGCCCAGCCGTTGCCCACGCTGGCTTGTGGTAAGTACGATAAGTTCTTCCAGGGCATCCCGCGAACCGGTCCTTAACTGCCATGGGTGCGACCAGCAAAACCATGCACCCACAGCCCACCATTCAGTCGCATTTTAGTTGGATAATTACGACCATGAAGCATGGCCAGGTGTCTCGAGCACGCAGCTCACTCTGATACTAAAAAGGTCTAATACTGCAATTATCCCATCAACTGAGCTAGTGGTAATTAAGCATGGCTAAGCATATAGTTCTAGCTAGGTCACATAAGTAACATG